TGAACGTGACCACCGTAAAAAAATGTAACATGCATGTATTCGAGCAAAGTAGTTATAAACAAAATGACTTTCAAAGTTGTTTTGTCATGACAAATTAGCATGAAATCATGATAAAAGTTTGTGCAATTCAAACAAAAAATTGCCAAACCTATTAATTTTGTAATGGAAATGCTAAAAATTCGGATATAGAAAATGATATTAAGATTATTGTGTTGAAGAATGGAGATGATTTGAGATTCATTTCAACGACAAAATTATATTTCAAACTAGCTTAGCTGCACAACTTGTAAGATCACCAATGACCCTGATTCTGGAGTATATCTCATGTCATTAGTTTTTATTAGTGGTGGACTGGGACGAGCCGGCCTTACCCGGTATTGTTTAGTCCTGGCCTAGTCCGATCAACCAGACCGGGAATAGGCCCACTGACCCGACCCGGTATGTATTTAAGCGGGCTACGGTCTGGGACCATTTTTTTGGCATTGGTTTGGCTGCTAGGTGGGTGGGCTGGGCGGTTTGGGGGGGGGGGGGGTTGGAGGTGGGGGTGGGGGGTTGAATTAATTTGAAAAGACAAAAAAAATATTTAGAGCCCGGCGCGATACTAACACGGGCCGGTACCAGGCCTGAATGTTTTGGACCCGGAGCCCGCCCAAGCCTGATGTGGTACCGATCCACCTCTAGTTTTTATGATAAAAAAGATAACTATAACTCTCTAGTATGAAATTGGAAACGGACTAGAAAGATACAAACTTAAATTGAAAGTTCATTTTGAGAGTAGTAGTAGTATATGATATGTGAAACTAATAAAGCAAAATTTGTTCCATGACTTGTAGTGCAGGAGTAGTACAAAGGGAAAATCATCAAATATGCCCCCTAACTTTTTAAAAAAATCAATTAGCCCCGTCAATCGAAAATTTGTCCAATTAAACCCTCAGACACATTTTAAACCGGCAAATCTTCCTTTTAACCGGTAGTGATGAGGTTACCGATCATTTGTTTACGGGAAATTATCATTGACCTCCCTCGAGGTTTCATGTATTATCACTTAGACCGCTGCACTTTTGAAAATATGCGTTTACCCCCTCCCTATCCTTTAATGAAAATTTAATAACTCATAATTACGTCTGACAAAAGTATAAATTTAGTTTTATAAATTTTCTCACTCGCAAATTTAATCTGATACTTAATAAATTTACCTGTATTAAGAATCTTTCTACCAGAAAGTATTTTTTTGCAAGAGCACATACTTTCCGATGAAATAGTCCTTACTATTGACATATTTATTAGGTACTTAACTACATCTACATGTGAGTAAAATTACAGAACTAGTAGCAGACACAATCGAAAGGTACATACTTAAAACAATAAATATCTATTACTTTTAAAAGTTTGAAAATATATCTGAGATTGTAGAAATATATAATCTTGGTGAAACTTTACTAACGAGGGAAAGATGCCCAATAACAAGGAATGTTATTTTATACCTAAAATAGATGTTGGCGAAGAACTTTTAGGAGACTATTGTTACCTATTGTTGATTCGTATGGAAAATGGTCAAAATACCTACTTTTGTGATTCATATTCGGGGAGGACAAGGCCCGGTCTCGAGAATGGCTGAATTTTAAATTAAGAATTCAGATCGGAACCGATACCAGACCGGTAAAAAGGAGGCCCCATGCCTCACTTTTTGGGACCGGAATTGGAGCCCTTGTTTTGACCTCATTCATTTTTTTTCATTAAAACCATTGAGAATATTTTAAGATGGGTTATAGCCCATTTATAAGTTGAAAAACAGGTAGTTAAAATATTTGAACTATCATGAGCGAATCTAGACCAATTAGGAGATTGGAACCAAATTTAAGGTCATGGGTTGCCCTAATTATTTAGGGCTAACAAGTTTGGGTGTGCAACCTGTCTGACGTGCACTTTGTCGTGGTGTGCACTCAAAATAATTATCAATACAACAATTATATGTAGTATATTGAAGTAAGGTTCGTATCCACATGGAAAGGAATACTTCTCTTTTTATGTAACTAGTTTTGTATCCGGGCGTTGCCCCGGGTGCAAGTGTGCAACTCCTATATGGAATATTTAGTTAATAATTCTTTGCATATGTGAGATATATCTTTCGTATATATGAATTTTTTAAATCTCATTGACAAAAGCATTGAAATATGTATTAATTTGATATACGGAGTAATATTATACTTCATACAAAGTTGAGATTCATAAGATATTAGAATAACTAAATGGTATAAGAAATTGAAAGGCTATGCTTCTAAATTCTGGTAAACCTCTCTATAGACAACATTTATGACATTGGAGGAAAGTCACTAATCTTTAGAACGAATCAAAATCTTCAATTCTTCTTTGCTATTGATTCTATATGGCAACATATAATTGACCATGAGTGAACACATTTTTCTCGAGATATAGTCTGACCTGAGATATATACTGACATTGGTTCTTGTTGATGCTCATCACAAAGCTCTACCAGTGTTGTTGGTCTTTTCAACTCTTCCCACAAGTGAGATAAATGCAACATCATATTATACCACCTAACATTTTTAGAAATGATTTAGAATCGACGTGTATTCCGTCGAATAGAGGAATTCGTAGAAGTGGCCATTCGACTTTCTCTCGCATAGTACTCGTGCATACGCACGTGAAAAAACAGTTGATGCATATATATTTTTATTCACGATGTGATTAAATATAAAAATAGTTTTGTTTACAATTTTACATCATTTAAAAAATGGAGTACAATAAGTGAATATAAAAAAGTATAAATACACACAATAAATATTCAAAGTGAAAGAAAACTAAAGTAAAAAAACAAATCGACACCATCTATTAGAATTTTTACGTAATAATAATTATTATTGTTGGTAACGGATTATGAAATATTAAATATAATTGTTAGAGTTTTGAAAAAGCATTTTAAAGAGAACTTTTAATGATAATGTCTAATGATTTATTTTCTTATCATATATTAAAACCATTAATTCATGTTTTCTAAACCCTCAATAATACCACATATATAAAGCTTTATAGGATTAAAATGCGTCTAGGTAGGAATATTTCATTTTTTTCCAATGATAGAGCTTGATAATTATTGATTGTCATAACATAGGTGACAATTATAGAAAAAAGTCTCCCCATAAGTTTAAAATGCCGTGAGAGAGAAAATATGAGAGACAATATTTCATTTTCTTCCGATCAATTATTAATCTGCTTTTTTGGACGTCCCACTTAAAGGTTCACATTTTCTATTTTATGAAACAATTAACACTCTTAAATAATCATTTGCTCGTCAATGATTAAAAATAATATATTTACAACATCACAATTATCATCAATGGCCCAATATATTATATACTCATCAAAATTATTTTATCAAAATATACTCGAATTAATATATTTAATTATTGTCTAAATAATCGTGTCATTTTGTCATGAGAACCTTTAAACGGGATAGAGGTAGTATCTAAAACCACTATATATGAGAGAAAAAATATCCCGCTCAATTTTTAGCCCGATTATCTTATTTTATACTCCGTACTTTAAAACACTGCATATGAGAGAGAAAAATATCTCGCTTAATTATTAGCACGCTTATCTTCGATCGTATAGCTAAAAACACTACATGAGAGAGAGAGAGAGAGAAATTACTCGCTCAATTTTTAATCCGTTTATCTTCTTATCTTCTTATCTTCTTATATAATTAAAAGCACTTCATATGAGAGAGAAAATTCTCTCGTTCAACTATTAGTCCACTTGTCTTATATCCAAAAAGACTACATATGAGAGAGAAAATTTTTCCGCTCAATTATTAGTCTATTAATCTTCTTATACCTAAAAATACTAAATATAAAAGAAAAAATTTGCCCGTGGCCGCCTAATTATTAATCCTCATATCTTCTATGGAAAAGCATTATTACATATGAGAGATAAAATTCTACATCTCAATTATTGATCTGCTTATCTTATCTTCTTATACCTAAAAGTGCTATATATGAGAGAGAAAATTCTCCCGCTCAATTGTTAAGATGTTTTCTTTTGGACTGAAATTTGCTGGTCTGGTCTGTTTAAGTTTGGTCTGGTCTGGTCTGGTAAACGTCTGGTCTCTGTGTATTTTATAACTACGGAACTCTGGTCTGGTCTGGTCTGTTTAAGTCTGGTCTAGTCTGGGACTGAAAACAATCCAAAAGAAAACATCCTTACTCCGCTTACCTTATACTTAAAAGCACAACATATGAGAGAGAAAATTCTTTTTTTGGACGCTCCATATAAAGGTTGACATTTCTATTTTTGGAAACGATTAAAAATATTGAATGATAATTTAATCATTAAGTATTATAAATAATACTCCGTAATCAATTACATCACATTTATCAACACTAATCCCACTATATTATATACCTGTCAAAATTATTTCTCAAAATATACTCGAATAATCTTTTGTAATTAATATATAAATAACTTTGTTGTTTTGTCATGGAAACCTTTCAATAGGACAAAGATAGTACTGAGTAATATTTTGTCCATGATTTTATATCAATGCAAACCCCTTTTAAGTTAAGTTTCTTTGTGTTTTGGATTTAAAAAATTTATCACTTACTTTTATGACATATTTTATTTGAATTGCTATAAAAAACTCTTTTCATGTGCATACTACAACTCGTATCAATATTCTATAACTTCTTAGGTTTAATCTTCTAATTCAAATCTAGTAATTTTAAAACTAATAATATTTCGTTACTGTAGTTAAACATTTTTGTTTTAGATATGTAATTTCATTAGATATATATATATATGATCATTAATGTTAGGACTACACGCATTTTAAATTATTAGCATCATTTAGGCAAATTAGTTGGACACTTCCTAAATGTTAGGACTATATACGTATGAGCCTTTGAAGTATGCCTATAATTACTCCTACATGCAAGCTACAAAGTTGCATTAGATGTTAAGGCATTCCATAAGTGTTAGATATAGGGGTTTTTACTTGAATATTACTAATTTTGAACCAATTACTCAAAAAGTGACCACTTTTAAAAGCGGGCAAAAAAGTGATCAAGAAGGTCATATATGTAGAATTAAAAAACATGATGTCACTGCAAAAATTTTATGTCACTGTGTTCGTTTTTTTGTAACTACAGCCATCACCATATCACTACAACCACCGCACGTGTCACTGTAGCCACCGCCCGTGTCACTGTAGCCACCGCCCGTGTCACTGTAGCCACCGCCCGTGTCACTGTAGCCACCGCCCGTGTCACTGTAGCCACCGCCCGTGTCACTGTAGCCACCGCCCGTGTCACTGTAGTCACCGCCCGTGTCACTGTAGTCATCGCTCGCGTTACTTAGCCACTGCCCGTGTCACTATAGCCATCGCCCATGTCACTATCGCCACCACCACACCTCCACTGCCGTCGCCCTTCTCCGGTGGCCATAGTGACACCACCGCCCATGCTCATCCCTATGCCCCAGCACCCAAAATCGCCGCTGCCTTGTCAGTCGGAAATTTTCCCGCTCCTTTTTCCGGCGTCCTGGCACCAACAAGAACACTGCCTGTCCCGCTGCCTACCCAAGTCGCTGTTGACAAGCCCCAACCCTCAGTCGTCACAACCACCTATAGCCGCCACTGCCCTTGACGTGCCCTTAGCAGTGCACATCAGCTCGCCATCTCCCAGCCCCAGTCCGATCACCCTCCCCCAGTCCCCCTCCCCTGCTCCCCTACCCCAGTCCCCCTCCCCTGCTCCCCTACCCCGCCCCCTATCCTCCCCCAGGATCTGTTAGCCAAAAGCATAGCCATACCACCACCCAAACACAATGGAACCCTCGTCGCACCACCACCAGCGGCGCCGAGATGGCGGATCCGGCACCGGCGGCCCCAAATCGCAGCCGTCATCCACCAAAGACGCAGATCCAGGACCGGCGATCCCAAACCGCAACCGTCGTCCATCAAAGACAACAGATCTGGCTCCAGTAGAGCTAAATCGGAGTCGTCGTCGGCCATAGAGGCGGCGGATCCAGCACCGGCGTCCATCTAGGATGACGGAGAAGCTAAGCAAGGCACGTCGATCGAGCATCGGCCAGCGGAGGCGCGACCACCGGTCATCAACAAGCGAAGGAGTGGGAATCGGGCGATGAGGACGACTGGTAGCTGTTGCAGGAGGTAAGAAAAAATGAGAAGAAAAAAGAAGAGAAAGATGGCGGTTGGCGAGCGGCGGCACTGGAGAGTTGTGACGGCGGCGATTGGAAAGCTGTGGCGGCAGAGAGAATAGCCCGACGGATGAGGATGTGAGGACGACGGATGAGGATGTGAGGATATCAGATCTGTTGGAGAATAAGCCCGGTGGGGAGAAAATCTGGTCATCCACGCAGGGAGGAAAACGTTTGAATCGGGGACTTCTTAGTTTTAATCACTTTTGCGTCATTCCAGGAATTACTCATATTTTAATCCACTAAAACCCTACAACTAATATTTAGGCCATTATTTCTTAGATATACTAATTTGAGGGCAAAATCTAAAAATCATCAATTTTAATGATTGGACTCAATTGCAATTTAATTACAAATCAATTTCAAATGAGATGATTCTACTTTATTAGTACTAAAGTAGACTAGTAACAAGGGGGATTTAAACTTTGATTTGATTTAATTTAATTAATTAAATACGAAGATGAACGACTTATATGAGTTTAATTAATAGAGATGAGGACTTGGTTTTGCTTTTATCCACTTAATGAGATGTTCGTCGATCCCGGTTATATCTTTAACTATCTTCCTCTCGAATACTCAATCGAGGAGTATATCCAATTCATCGAGGGTAGTTATTAATAACGAGACGCGTTCATTAACAAAACTTACTACCGAGTCAATATAGAACACGCGCCGTATATTTACCCGATAGTAGCAATAAACTTAAGATGAAAACGATTGAGATTGATAACCTCAACACAAGCGGTTTATTGGTTTAATCAATATAATTAATTCCCCTTAGATTATTAACCATGAAACACATGCATTATTAATCCAAGTTTACTACCGTGAAACAACCGAACGATTAACAAGCGTATTCGTCGATCAATTCTGATATTAATTAATATATGAAACAAAACTAGTTGATCCTTTAAGAAATGCTCAAAATATTAATATGAAATATGAATAGGAATTAATTAATATTCAAGGAAGAATATTAAAGAAGATAAATCCCACTATAACTAATGTCAAGATGTTAACTAATTGTCATCTTAGCAACACTCCCCAACATTAATATAGAGGAAGAAAATAAATACTACTATAACTAATGTCGAGATGTTAACTAATTGTCATCTTAGCAACACTCCTCAACATTAATATAGAGATAGTATTAAGGGAAAAAATAATATTCAAGGAAGAAGATTAAAGAAAATAACTCACAACTTACAATTCATTATGCTTCAAAGTACCAAAACCAAGATGGAAGAGTTTAGCTCCTCATTTGGAGACTAAACATGATAGAAAATGTAAAGAAAACACTAATCTAAATTGAGCTAAAGAGTATATGTGAATTGGTGATCTTCTTGGGAAGGAAAGAGGTGTATTTATAGGCTTTTGGGGGTTGCAGGGTCTGATACCCGACCGAGTATATAGGATACCCGACCGAGTATCTTAGGAAATTGCCCAGAAAGTCACTTTTCTGGCATACCCGATCGGGTAAGGGTATATACCCGATCGGGTATGTGACAAATCTTCACGAAAATCCGCTCCCACGATCATTTGTTCCCGAATTTGATTTGGACAATCGAATCAAGCAAATACCCGATCGGGTACATGAATATTTTTTCCAAATCGAAATCTTTCTTGCCTCGCACTTTCCTTGATCTTTTAAGGTCAAAACTTGATCCCTTGGATGATCTTTCGCCTGTTTAGCTCAGAATAATCCTAATCTAATCAAATTACAAATAAAAATGAAAATAAAGTATTACACCAAAAGTGTGTAATTTCCACAACTAGAACTAATAAAAACTAGTTAAAAATAGAAACATACAATCATAAATTACACGACTATCACTGTCCTAAACTATAATTGCTTTACCAGTATTTTTACATGTAAACATGTTCATATTTTGTCAAATATTAATTTACAAGCTGTTATTATACCTATAATGATCTCATTTCCTGTGATAACAAAGAGTGTCTAGAGTGCAAATTGGAAATTTTCTTGCATTTAATTTTTAATGGTAAAATTGAGTAGTAAACTTCATTTTTGAGTCGGTTTGGTTCATTTAAGTTGATCATTTTCAATTGAGTAAATTTTCTAACTTTACAAATTGAAAGGCATAAAACGAACTACCTAAAGTAGGTCAGTTTTGGTCTCATTTTTATTATTTTGTTCGACTTCTGATAAAAATGTATTTAGTATGGACAAATTTAATAATTACCCAACCAAATTTGTGATTGAATAAAATTACAGTATTAAAAGCGACATAATGAAAAGTTATGAAATTAGAGTGGTCTTCATGTCAGGCCGGCCTGACGGGATGCTCCGTCCGGCCGAGCCCGTTTGGGCACCTTCCCGGTGGAATTTTTTGATGAATTTTTTTGAGCATGTTCCTCATCAAGTCTAGTTTGTCCATACCAAATTTCAGCTCAAAATTCGATCGGGAAGGCATTCAAATCATTTTTTGAAGTTGACTGCGTCAAAATATACATATAAAACTGCAGTCAACTTCAAAAAATTATTTGAATGTCTTCCCGATCAAATTTGGAGCTGAAATTTGGTATGGACAAACTAGACTTGATGAGGAACATGCTCAAAAGATTTCATAAAAAAATTCCACCGGGAAGGTGCCCAAACGGGCTCGGCCGGACGGAGCATCCCGTCAGGCCGGCCTGACATGAAGATTTGTCTATGAAATTATATCTATAATTTGCTCTAAATATAGATTAAGAGTTATTTAACCATCATTAATGGATAGGGAGGGGGGTAAGATTATGTTTTTGATAATATAGGGGTGTGATTGATAATACATCACACCTCAAGGGAGGTCAACGATAATTTCCCTTTGTTTATACTATGGTGACACATGTGACTTTTTTCATATTCCTTTTTTTCATTTCCCTTTTCTTTTTTCTTTCTTTTTCCTTTTCCTCCACCTGCTTCCCGTTTCTCCATCCACCCGCGCTACCAGCAAACTTCAGACAAGTCAAATTCCTCTATTTTCCTTTTTCCATTTTCTTCTTCCATCTTTTTCGGCCAGCTCTTTCTTTTCCCCTTCCTTCTTTCTTTCTTCCACCCATTGTTCGTCTGCCGGCGTTTCACTGTGCAGTGTCCAAGAAGAAGCTAGATCGCCGGAGATGCTAAATTACCCATCGCACACCAGTCGTCTCCGTTGAAGCTTCTGGGTCAGCAACGCAAGTCGATGTGGCACGCCCGTCGTTGTGCTCCGTCATGAGTCCGATTTTGCCGCCTTTCGGAGTGGTGATGAAGACGTATCAGGTGGTCTTAAGCGTCGTGGTGGCCAGCCTGGTAGATGGTGGCGGTGAATGGTGAGGGTGGTCTCTTCGTTAATCTGGTGGATCTATTTAGATCTTAAGTGGTAGGGGAAGAAGTTGAGGAAGAAGGATGGATTTCAATATTTCATTGCCTGGACTTCTGTTCATTTTTGGCAATCAAGAAAGACAGGACGGATGAAAAGTGGATTGGGATCCTCTGCCGTACGGCAGAGTGCCTTGCGCGCAGAGGACCGTCGTATTGGGGAAGAGCACCCTCGGGATCTGCGCTTCAACATCTCCGACCGTCCATTTTTTTGATCGGATGGTTCACGAGGGTCAGACACCGTGCCTTACTTTGAAGTATGGCAGAGGTTCCGGATCCATGAAAAGTTAGTCAACTTAACGGGGAGAAGACTTTGGTGAGGAGGATTTTTTATTAATAGAAAAATGAAAAAAAAAATGACATGGAAATCCATAAGCAACATAACCGGAGAAACCCAAGAGTAACCTTTAAAGGGGCCATTTTGAACGTTTTTTTTATGTTGGGGTACTTAATTGAGTGAACATTTTGTGTGAGGGTTTAATTGTTTTTTTATATAGTATGAGGGCAAATTTAATAGTTTTCCCTAGTACAAAATATAACTACAACCTACTGTGAAATTAATGAGAAACTATGTATGTAGGAAACCATTCCAATTAATTTAAACGTACACAAATACTAGATGGTTCTTGTCTTCGTTCTATTTTTCCTTTGAAAAGTTGAATATCCATGTATAACTGTCCAAACGAACAAGCAATTAATAAAGGGTATGTTTGACATTTAGTGATTAGTGGTCAATAGATAATGAATTATGTTAACGGATTTGACTAGAGGAACATGTTATCAAAAGATATTCAGCAATTTAAATGTTTGGCCATAAAATTAGTAGAAAACGCTACATTTCAAAATGATTACTCCAAACTTTCCTATTTACCAAACAACTTTTCTGAAAAAGCTAAACGTGATCAAACCATCTTTTTTCGGCTGAAACGTCATTTATCAAACACCTCCAAAATCTAGAACCAGAAAATGTATATGACCAAACTCATGTTCATCCGCGCTCCTCTGCTTTGTGAAATGTTCTTAGTCCGCCACGCCACCGATGGTAATTTTTCATCATGTTAATAATTTGTTGACAACGGAAATTATGTAATTAAATGAGAATGTGTTGATAAGAATGCATGAAACGCAACATATTATTTACAGGATGAATGAATGCATTATTATACTACTCCGCATAATACAGCAGCAGGAGCATTCTTATTTTTTTATTAAACTACAAGAACACATGTACAATTACATCACAATCGAGGCCGACGAACCCCCCCCCTCCCGCATGGTTCGTCAAACAACGGATTGGCATTGACAGTTACCTAACCTAATTAAGCAGTGACAGATGTTGGAACAGCAGTGCCAGAGTAATTAACTTGTGCAACCTTGTCACTTTCCCAGAGTTGTGGCAATGCCTCCTTCATGTTATGGATGCTTTCCAACACATAATCTGCACCCTGCACTTTCTGAGGCTTCCCAACCTGAACAATATCAACAAGCCTTTGCCTATATTATGCATGAATAACTCTTAAAATAATAATAATTTACACCGTTCTATTCATTCACAAAAAGTATGACACCCCATCCTTGAGGCCCCCCAACACCGACCGGACGGCAAGATGGGAGGATGTAAATTGGACTATAATCACAATCTGACATATATAGAGTGGGGCTCCGTCCCCGGTACTTGCAGAGGCCCTGTGCATTTTTAGCATAGTAACCTCTCATCGCTGTTGCCGGGATTCGAACCCGAGACCTAACCCTTGTGGCACTCCCTCGCTATCAGTTGAGCTACGCCCACCGGTTAAACTAAGGTATGGGTAAACTTTTTATAGTGACTAGCTCCACCGCTTTCACGGCCCCTTACCCCAGAAACCCAACTTTGGCTTGGCCCTACGGGTTAGTATACACCGCTTGGCCCTAACACTTGAAGGTTTTTTTGGGGGAGCATAGTTCCACTGGTGCTAGTGGGACTCGAACACGAGACCTCTCCTATGCAGGGATAACCTCACAACTGTTCTATTCATTCACACTACTATTATACGGAGTAACATGTACAAAAAACTGACCAGAACAGTGTGAAGGCCTACACACTTTCCCGCTTGTATGTTCCGGACGCTGTCTTCGAAGAACAGCTGAAGAAGCAATGAAGAGAATGAATGAACACAAGAAATAGATCTGGCATAAATAATAAAATTTTGTTCCATATAATCAGGTAATCTTCACACATGCAAAATGTAAACTGTAAATGAGGCTCATATATCAATCTAAAGGACTTACACACGCTAACAATATATGCAACAACTTAATTCAGAAAATGCATCATTTTGATCGCAAATGTGCAATTCTGGCAGAGTGGCAGATAAAAATGCATCTATATAGAAGTGTACAAGGCTAATATATGATCTTACAGTTCTATGTGGGTCAACATTAGCTATTTGAAGAGCTTTTTCAATGGCAGCCTCAGACGGCTTGCACAACACTGGTGTCTTGGGCAATGGCGCCAACCCAACACCATTATCTGGTTGAGAGAAATGCCCAATTATATCAAATATCTCTGATCTATCATCTTCATCAGGCACATACGTTTTGCATGGATTGGGATTCAATGTCTCGAAGCATATGATTCCCTCAAAGCAGTCCTCCAGTCCAAGGATCCTAAGCACTTTGAGGGCATGGACCTTATCGGCATTCGTGAAAATCTATTCATTTGTACGTAAAGAAAGAAAGAAAACCAATCAGTTTTGAAGAAGGGGTCATCAAATGCAAAATCAGCTTTTTAACAGGAATAGAGGGAGAGACTAGACATACAACTTTCCGGTAAGGCAGGGTAAAGAGAAGACTTCGAAGAACAGGGTCGGGCTTCAAATTTTCATATGGCAGTCTCCCGTGTACAAAGCTGCATCAACAAGCTTTAGTTAGCTGAATTATCCAAGCACTTGAATGCTTTGACTTCTGCTCCGTGTTAAACCATTTTGTCGAACACTTTACAACAGACTGTTTACTTTTTATGTAACAACTCAAGAATACTGTATGAAAGATGATGACTTTATGTTTCTAATCTTAAAATTAGTCTATAAGAAGGAGATACTTTTTTCTTGTTTGGGATAATTCATTCAGACACAAAAGAAAAACTGTATGAATAATAAAATGTCCATGTCAAGGGTGTAATGTGTTGTAAAAAGTGGCTGTACAACATTTTCTGTACAACCTTAAGTCTAAGATTTAAAAAACATGTCGGTGTGGAAAAAATCTTAAACAAGTGTGTATGTAATCCTTTAATCCTTTGAAAAAGGTATTGTTTGTGTGAAAACAATAAGCACTTTGATTGAACTCTCACCTGTGATATTCATCGTAGTCGAAATCATAGCCAATTGCCTGGGAAAAACATTACAGCTTTCTCATAAGCAAAATTTGTATGTCATAAACAAGGGCAACAGCTTCTTTCGTAGAGGAATTGAAAAAGAACCCTCTACTGGAGGAAGAGGCATAAAATAAAACTTACCCTAAGACCTGCCATTGTAGTACCGTAATTTTTATACAGCAAGTTCCCCAATTCTTGAGTTATGCTCGGTTCTATGCCAAGTTTCTCAACCATGTAATCTAATAAAAGCATGTTTGAGTACTAATCAATAATATTAAAGGTCAAAACAATTTCCCATATAAAGTATTGCGGTTAAATTGAATGTTGCAAAATACCTGTAATATTCTTTCCACATGCTGCTGCTAAGCCAGAACTGAGGGGATAAAGTGTATCATCCAGATCTTTCGAATAACAAAACAGTTAAAAAAAACAAGTCAGTTAAATGCTGATTATTTATTTATGTATAAAAGAAAGGACATGTGACAGCAACCAAGTAGTAGGTGTTTAAAACAAGAAATCATACCAAATAGAAGGCAATCATATGTAGGCCTCTCCACTTGCCCAAATCGTTCTTCATAAGCCATCCTCTATCTAGGTCTGATATAACTTTAGTAGATAATAATGAAAATGCATTAGCATTCAAAAGACAAGCATACCATAATATAATATAAATCTACCAAAACGAATGAAAGAAAAAGGATTTGGTTTGGGCAAATTATTAGCCCACCCAGACAGACATAGGCAGTGGCTTTCGGGTAATGCATTGAAACAAAAGTGCAGATTATGCACTGTGGGTTATTCATTACACAATGGAGTAAAAACAGACTTAACAACAAACTACTCGAATTCACGGAACAAAAGTATCAAATTTGAACTCGGAAAAGAAGAAACCTTTTGCGGTGCAAATTGCAGAACATTTTATTTAAGATTTATATTGGGCCAAAAAAACACATTAATTAAGAAAGGGAAAAGGAGAAAGTAGCAGGAACTTGTACCGATGGAGAAAGAAGAGAGGAGCAACAATAATTTGATAGAGTGGGTGGAGGGAGAGCGAGGGGAGGAAGCAAAGAGCGTTCTCTGGGTTTAAATAGCCACCCCCAAACGCAACGGTTGCGTCCTTTCCATTTCTTTCTCTGATTTTTTTTTGTGCTCCAATCATAGGACTTTTTATTTTTCAAATAATATGTCGTTACACAATATTGTGTCGCGAAATCTAGACCTTACAAATAGAATGGCAGGCACTTTAACCACCACACATCCAAACCCGAACCATTCCAACTCATTTTAGAGCCGTCTTGGACTTATGAGTTTAATCAGTTAATTTCCATTAAACTAGATTCTTTACCCGTGCATTTCACATGATGTATATGTTATATGTTTAACCATGCCATTAGCTGACAGTGGAAATCTAATGAATAGTTTATCTAACTCGGATTTACATATGTTAAAAATTTAGAATGAATTTTTCAGAGCACAAAGTTGGATAAAGTTGGGATCACTTCGTAATAATAAAAATATTTTTTATTAGATATATAAATATTGTGTTACGTTTTTGTGTTTATAAAAATATACTACCTCCGTCCCACTAACATTGGAACATGAGGAGGTAACATGATCATTAAGAAAAGTGAGTTTTTGTGATTGATAAAGTACGAATGATTTAGAGTCACACAAACTTTACCAAATTTGCTATGAGAAAATCTTAGTGGGACTCCCTGAAAAGAAAAAATGGGACAATCTTAGCGAGACGGAAGGAGTAATAACAAAGGATTCATGCAATTGAGGAACTCTTATTTGGAGTGATTGGATGCATTGTAACTCTTATTTTTAATAGGTATGAAGCATAAATGTCTAATTGGAGGGAAAAGCAAGATGACACACCTTGTTACTTTATATTATTATAGATAGATAGATAGATAGATAGATAGATACGAAACTTTCATATCACGAGCTAAATTGCGTAATAATCAATACAAGTAAGATTGAAATCATTTTTTAACATAATTTACAATTTATTGAAGATGACTACTGTAAACGTTTTTATGTATTCTTTTCTTATTTTATTAATAAAATATATTTTATATTTTAACATAATTCAACATATTCAACCGCTTCACCCACAAATTCAGCAATTTCAGCAAATACATTCAACATTTGTGTTACCAAATAGGTTCTTATTAGAAATGGAATCTCCCTCATCGGAAATCTTTTATAAGGTATGAGAGTAATACGATGTAATCATATTAAATATTAATATTATTTTTCAAGTTATTGTATTTATCATGGGAAATTATTATTATTATTATTATTATTATTATTATTATTATTATTATTATTATTATTATTATTAAGTATCAAGAACTTGTTCGTTTCTCTCTTTCAAAATCCTAATTTCCATTTGCATTTTTTTCTTTGACTGGGTTTGCATTAACATCATTATCAACTTCTTTTTGAAGTAAGGTTAGAATACAAACGCGTCAAGACGCTATATGTGTGTTGGAGTCCTGTCCTAGTATAGAGAAGACTCAACTTTTGTGTACATCAAATTTGTAGTATAAAAAATTCTGATAATATTATATTATATATTTAAATCTAGTCATGTGGTATGCATTCTACTTTTACCTAAACTTCTATGATCTGGTCTTCAGATCTTGTCACTTTAAGTGTGATCTTACCTGATCTATTGCAATATGATCTGTGTACAACCCCATTCATCATTGTTTATGTTTAACAAACGCAATTCAAGCCTACTCAAATGACAATCATAATCGTTCAGCCACCACCTAGGGTTCCGATTTACCCCCATTTAAATGTGTGGGCGTGCAGGTATATACAAACCTTGACAATGAACCACAATATCAAGTCAGGTTTATTTAAGTCTGGTCTAATACAATTTGGTCTAGTAAACATTTAGTGTATGCATATTTTGGTATTATTACTATTAGTCCGATTTGGTCTAGTCCGATCTATATAAATCTAGTCTAGTACGGACTAAAAATAGTCAAATTAAAAACACCTTTATTAAAAAAAACCTTTATTCTGATTATTTTAATTACCAAAGATATAATTCATTCATTTTATAAAACGAGTTTTAATTGTTTTACATCTCAACAATACAGAATGAATTATATTAAAAAAGAGAAAATGGTCAAAATGGTACATGAAGTTGTTTTAAGTGGAGTAAGTAGTACTCCATCATACACTTGAAACTACAAAGTACATGAACTTACATTTTTAAAGTCAACCAAGTACATTTGCTCTATTAAAACGTTAAAATTGGTGACATGGCAAACTATCAGTTTGTAGTATATTGTTGTAGTCCAAGTAATTAAATAATTAATTTATAAACTTTAATTTCCTCCAGTTCACTCGTTTCCACCCTCCGCTCTTCATTTTATATTGGCTAAAGGGTCAAATAGGCCATTGAACTGACTTAAAGTGTTCAATTAGCCCCTTATATAGAAGGTTCTGCCCGGTCGTCGCCAATTGGGGCAGTTCCCGGTGGAATTTTTTGATGAAATGTTTTGAGCATCTTCTTCATTAAGTCTAGTTTACTCATACCAAATTTCAGCTAAAAATTCAACCGTCAAGGCAGTCAAATGATTTTTTGAAGATAATTGAAGTTAAACAGTGAAGTACATTTCGGAAAACCATTTGACTGCCTTCCCGGTTGAATTTTTAGCTGAACATTGGTATGGGTAAACTAGACTTAATGAAGAAGATGCTCAAAAAATTCATCAAAAAATTTCACCGGGAACCGCCCCAATTAGCGACGGCCGGGCAGAACCTCCTATATAAGGGGCTAATTGAACACTTTAAGTCAGTTCAAAGGCCTATTTGACCCTTTAGCCTTTTATATTTCTCCCTTCTGTCGCTCTTCATCTTATATTTCTCTCATCTGCTCTCCAAGGGCGGAGCCAGGGCACTAGACCGAACTACAGTAGTACAAAGATTTTTTTGAGGAAAAAAATTACACAAAATTTTTACTTTAAAAATATATCATTTTTGAAATTTGAGGTGGGTCATGGCCTAGGTTGGCCCCCTCTAGCTCCGCCCGTGCTGCTCTCCTCTTTCTTCTTCTCTCCCTGCTATCCCACCGACTTCTTCTTTTAGTTGCTATCGGTCCGTATAGAGCAAAAAGAAGAAGTCAACGGGATAGCATGGAGACCAGACAGGAGAAATATAAGATGTAGAGCGGAGAGAAGGGAGAGCAGACGAGAAAAATATAAGATGAAGAGCGAAGGTGAAAACGAGTGGTCTGGAGTAAAATAGAGTATAAATTGATTATAGAAAAATTGAAAATAATAATCCCAACTATTGCCAATCCGCCGTTAATAATCCCAACTACTATCGGTTATTCCCGGGTGGTTCAAACTATAGGGACCATTTTCCAAAAATGGTAGCTAACTTGTTACAACCTGGTATAGCAGGTCATTTTTAAATGTGAACTATGTGTATGTTTTAAATAATCCCAACTATAGTTGACAATTTTTTATTAATCCCAACTATCAACTCTCAATTTTCAGAAGATGTAGAAATATTTTTATGAATTTTCATACTAAATATGTTTAAGCATGAAAAATTAATAGCAAATATTCTACAATTGTACCGAAATTAAAAAAATAGTCATTTTTTATTTATTTTCACTAAAATTTCTTTTTTTTTTCTTTTTGAAATTGGTTTTTCACACTTGTGGTACCAATTTATGATTAGTATTTTTTTTCTTTATTCAAATTTGCATTTTCTATTTTCTAAAAGTAAACTGTGATTATTTGATTTTTACAATTTAGATCTTTAATCTAGCTTAATCTAAAAAAAACTAAATTTTCTATTTATTCCATTTTAGTATTTTTAATTTCTACCAATGTAAAAATGTGAATAGCTTGAAATGACGATAAAAAATGTTTACCAAAAGTCCACACTTTTTCTACCTAGCAAAATAGTTGGGATTATTATTATTATTATTATTATTATTATTATTATTATTATTATTATTATTATTATTATTATTATTATTATTATTATTATTATTATTATTATTATTATTATTATTATTATTATTATTATTATTATTATTATTATTATTATTATTATTATTATTATTATTATTATTATTATTATTATTATTATTATTATTATTATTATTATTATTATTATTATTATTATTATTATTATTATTATTATTATTATTATTATTATTATTATTATTATTATTATTATTATTATTATTATTATTATTATTATTATTATTATTATTATTATTATTATTATTATTATTATTATTATTATTATTATTATTATTATTATTATTATTATTATTATTATTATTATTATTATTATTATTATTATTATTATTATTATTATTATTATTATTATTATTATTATTATTATTATTATTATTATTATTATTATTATTATTATTATTATTATTATTATTATTATTATTATTATTATTATTATTATTATTATTATTATTATTATTATTATTATTATTATTATTATTATTATTATTATTATTATTATTATTATTATTATTATTATTATTATTATTATTATTATTATTATTATTATTATTATTATCATCATCATCATTTTGATACACTTTTCCTACATTTTTACAATTTCCATTATATCACTTAAAATTATAATATTAATATGTTTTCATTAAAAATAGACAAAACCTCCAGAACCTATATCCAGAATAACTAATTAAAGAATATAATAATATAAAATAAAGAAAATAGAAAGAAACTAGAAATACTAAAATGGAAAAATAGAACACTTAGGTTTTAGAATTAAGATAGCATAAAAAAATTAATCATTATTTACCTTTTGAAAACAGAAAATGTAATTTGAATAAAGGAAAATAATACAAAATCATAACTTGGTAACACAAATAGGAAAAACAAATTGGAAAAAAGGAAAAAAAACAATTAGTTAAAATAAATCAAAAAATGACAAAAAATATTTTATTTAACTTCAGTGCATTTGTATAATTTTTTGTAGTTGCTTATACATGTTTAAAAATACTTAGTTTGAAAATTTATTAAAAAAGTAAATCTTCAAAAAATTGAGAGTTGATAGTTGCAATTAATAAAAAAGGTCAACTATATATAGTTGAGATTATTTAAAGCTTACACATAGTTCACATTTAAAAATGACTTGCTATATCAAGTTGTAACCGGTTAGGGACTGTTTTTGGAAAATAGTCCCTATAGTTGGGACCATCCAGGAATAATTGATAGTTGAGAT